TTCAGTTAAGGGCTAGCCCCTTAACTGATAACTTTAACCTGTTAATTGAACGGCTTATTAAGCTAATTGGCTGCGACATATATATTTAATACTAACGGCCTCTTATGGCTGCGCACGCTCATTCATTTATTAACATAGATTGAAATTTAATATAATCAATTTCTATTCATTCAATTACATTAACCACTTAACCTAAGCTATACATAATAATCTTAATATATTTAAAACAAAGTCGGGTTTTTTCAATCACTTATAACTCGAGAACGGCTGGACCGATTTTTATGGTTTTTTATTTGTTGTAATTGTCAGAATAACTTTTAATAACATTAGAAACACTCCAATACAAAATGATCATGGGTTACGAACAGTTACGAAACTGTCAAACATTTAATGTTCATCGCGTCGATACGGCGAACTCTCCCCTCAAATTTAAAATACGTAAAGTTTTCTAATTTAATCAAATCAATAAACTGTCGTGTTTTAGATTTTAAAAAATTACAATAATATCAGTAATGAAAAAGGATAGACATATTATATATTGGTTGTCAATGTCGTGCGTTCAGACGCTTATTTCTTTTAGTGTTTCTAAAGGAGTGAAATGGATTATGGAAGCACCAGGTAAGTTACATCGTCGATGAGTTCGAGCTGTCAAAAATAGCCACCGTATGACGTATACATATGCAAGTCTTTGGAGAAGGACCTGTGTTAATTGAAAGCCTGCCGGCGAGAAGTAGCCGAGATCGGAGGCAACAGTTTTAGTTGACTAGTGAAGGCATTGTACGGGTGCCCAATATGGGCGGATAAGCTGAACCGGTACAACAAAACCATCCTCAGGCAGTCGCAGAGAGTAATCGCAATTAGGGTCGCGAGGGCGTACCGCACGGTTTCGTATGACGCAGCGTGTGTTATAGCCGGCACCACACCCTGGCACCTCGAAGCGGATGCCTTAAGCGAAGTTTATTGGAGGAGGGCCGAAGCCAGGCACAATGGTAATGACCCAGCGCTCGGAGCAATCAAGTCGTGGAAAATTTCCGAAGAAAACGAAGCAATAAGACAGTGGGCGGAAGAACTAGCTACTGCGAGCGCTGGGTTCTACACCATCAACGCGTTCAGACCACATCTCGACAAATGGGTGAGGAGGCGGTGGGGCCGCCTCAGCTACCGACTCGTGCAGATATTGTCCGGACACGGCTGTTTCGGCAGCTATCTGCACAAGGTAGTCGGGCGTGAGGAGGCACCAACCTGCCACCATTGTGACGCTGGTGTTGTTGATGATGCGCTCCACACCTTAAAGGATTGCCTAGCATGGGAGGTGGAAAGGAGGCCTCTACTGGGCGTGCTACAGGGCGAGGACGCTACCCTCGATAACATTGTGAGAGTAGCAGTTACAAACACGGACAGTGACGGCATGTGGGAAATCTTCCAGAGATTCTGTGAAGCCGTCATGCACAAAAAGGAAGAGGCGGAAAGGGCCAGGGAGGATGATCCTGCAGCCCACCCGCGTCGCCGTAGGAGACCACAGCGCCGCCGTTGCACCGTGCAACCCCGTGTGTAATCCTGGGCACGCAGTTGCTCCAGCGGGGGAACAGGGGTCCATGCGTCGAAAAGAAGGGATGCTGACGCATCCCTGCAAGCATCGTGCCCGACCTCCCCCAGCTTTATAAACAGGGTGACTTGGCCGATGTGAAAGGCCCTTGCTGTGCCAAGGTCCATTCCACATCATTCGTGGCCGTAGAGGACCGTGATACTAACGGCTGATCGCGTGGCTGGATGCGGACAAGGCCACGCTGTTACCGTGTCCTGCCCCGGGCGATTGCTGGTGGCGCCGTGGGGTTTTAGTGGGTATGCACTGTTGTGCGAGTCCCACATAACCCTTCCCCCCAAGGTCAACCGTGCCGCGGGAGGGTATGCTTAACGCATTTCCCCACGAAAAAAAAAAAAAAAAAAAAAAGAGTCAGCGAAGGGTAGTTTCTATGAATGGGTATTATGTATAGCTTCAAAAACAATTTAACTTTAATCAATAGTCCTCTTCAGAATGATCCATATTATCAATGTAATTGTCGTAGTCTGCTTCTTCTATGGGCATCCATTCGTGTCCACGGTACAAATAAGATTTGCCTTTACGACCCTTAAACCCCATTTTAGCTGCCTCGTCTTGAATTAACTTCTTCTTTGGAACATCCTTTAATCTGACGAGGGCGTAGGCCACATGCATCTGAAAATAAAAAAAATTTAATAGAGTAATCTCTTCTGAAGAGTATGGCTTTAAAGTAACCCATAGCAGGGCCGAGCTCTTTCATTGTCTATTCTTTATAGGCAGGCTTATATCTTTCAGGCCTAAACAATTTACTGCCAAGAATTGAACCTAGGACCTCTCCGTGGTTAACAACTAAGGCGATAATACACAAGCTGTCTTATTCTATACAGAAATAAATTGTTAGTTTATTTCAATGGTTTTATGTTGCTTTAAGTCGAAAAGTCTATTTAATATAATAAAAGAGATACGAAATAATATTTTTATTCTATTAGCAAATCATAGTTTGAAGTTGGTTAATCGATTATTTTATTATTAATTTAAATTAAGTAATTATAATGTTTTCGTTTGTTTCATAGGGCGATGCTACGGAAACAATAGTTTTCTACTACTACTACTAATGATCCATGGGAAATGCTTTGTGGACTCAAAACGATGCATGCGTAATTAGTTTAGTCTCAATTAGCTATTGAATATAGATAATAGACTTTAAAGGTTCTAGCGCCACTGGTTCCTTCATTATCATTCGCGTGTGACAAAAAAGAGGATTTGTTAATACTTACATCACAATTCATAAAACCAATATAACGTCCATTGTCAAACTGTTTTATGCGCACTGTTACGGTGTCAACTGTATCACCTGGCGATAAATCTGTAATTTTTGGATATTTAAATAGTAATGATAAACAGTTTTAAAGTAATACGTATGCACAATTGTTCATAATAAAAACACGAAACAGCGTATCGCGTATAATGGATTGATCAAACTGAAACGGCCCGGTAATTTTTAACAATATCTTATTTTCTTTTACATTTAAAGGAAATCAGAAATGTATCTGGTGTGTACCGGACATATTTCTAAATCTGTTTAAACGATTTTATCTTTTTTAAATGATTCGTGACTGAATATAATTTATATATGCTCAAACTGTCCAGAGCGAGAACGCTAAGACACCAAGGTATACAGTGTACAGTGTATACTTATTTACTTTTTTTTTACTCATTTTTGATTATGGTGATTGTATTTGTATTTCTTTTCTTTGTGTGTGCTTATCACATAAATTTTATTTTCTTTCTCGTCTGTAAAAGAAATATCAAAGACATATAAACCGGAAAAACCGAGCTCAGGGTTTATCTGTAAGGTTTTCCGTTTTGCCCGAAGGGTTCAGGCAAAACGGAGGATAATTGAAACTTTTTGTTAATTCTCATAAATGATATGATATAGAAATCATTAAAGTTTTTAAGTTTGTGTGATTATTTTCCAGATGATTAACCATAGTACAAGTAAAAAGTACAAAGAGTTCTATTGAGTAACAGATTGTGGCTTTAATTTACATTATCCCTTAACGTATGCGTCTTGCCCGGGCTTCCCCTACTTATAGTAATAGATGAGACCTTTATATGGCGTATACACGATGTACTGTCCTCTATCTCCCTGTTCCACCAAAAGGTGTGTTATATTACTCTTCTCCTTCAGCAGCACCATGGGAGCTGTCCAGTTTACTGGCTCCCGCACGTGGTCATCTATCAGGTACTTTAGGTAGGCTATTTGCTGGAAAATAAGCAGCGAAACTGTCAATAAATATGAACCTTAAAGTATTGTTCGGTTCAAATACTTTATTTCTCAATTTAACATTCACTTTAAATTAGGTTAGTTGTGTACATCGTGTTATCAAATGATTAGAAAATAAGCGATGTAAAATAATTATATTAGTTGCTCTGCAAATATTAAAATATAAACCATGTAACTTTTTTTAGATTCGTTAAACAAAAATACAAAAGTGCAGGTTGATTGTGGTAGATTGTGTAACTAATGAATAGTAAATTAAATTAAAATTGTTTAAATACTCATTATGACTATTAACTTTTGAGTTAATTATATAAACATATATATTGAAGGTAAAGTATACAAACATTTTAATAAAATACGTTTTGTAATTACAATAATGAATATTAAAGCACTTAAACAAATGCGAGCGATACTGTACATACATATTAAGATATGAGAATATTACCTCTCGATTTGGTAGAAGAAACTTGACGAACCACGTCGGAGATGTCGGGCCCCAATAGTAAAACGACATCCATACATCTTCCAAAACTGAATACGGATTAAAACGAGCAAATCTACCAAAATCTTCACAACTTGTCGTCTGGTCATGATCTATATTTGGTCCTACTGAAGTACTCATAGCCGTTATTAATAATACAAAATGTATAGCTAAGGTAAACATAGTTCTATAACTCAAAACACGTAATGATCAGCAGATCATCTTATAGCAATGATGTCGGATGTTTCTCCTCAAGAATGTCAATACTAACCATTTTCAAAACAATTTCTTGAATTTGCTAAAATGTATAATGATTTCTTAGAAGCCTTTACATTCGCGATTCTTCTTTAGATATTAAAAATTATGTAATGGGGTACATAATTTTAGAATGGCTAAGGTAAGAAGATAATAACATCTTTTGATGCCTCTCAATACTGGTTGGCCGTCTGTTTCGTGAAGCGTGTCCTGTCCTGTGCCAGATGCCAGCATTTTTTCTTCTACCAACACGTCGTTTACCCTGGATTTTACTCATTATAAATAATGAAGTGGTCATGGTGCAATAGGCCCATGTAAGCAAATAATAAACATACTAAACTTATATTATACAGTGTTTTATTAAGTTTTAAGTTAACAGCAGCAATGCTTTTATAATTTTCAAACAATTTAAACTTAACATTTTAATTTAAACTTATATATTACAGCTTGCTTAAATCAAAGCGTGGAGGTTTCAAACTCTTCGCCTTTTCAATTTGTCGATCTACGTCCAAAAATTTCTCCTTAACCAAATTACTTATTGCCGAAGTATCATGTCCACGTGAAGATACTGGTTTTCCCTTTCCTTTAAAGTTCAAAATTGAAGCCGCTTTTATCTTTTCTGGATCGGATTGTGGCTCTTCGCCAAATATTGCCATGACATATGTGGTCTTATCATCGCAATACATCAGAGCCAGAAAAGGATCCAGTATTTTTATGCGTAAACTCAGGACGGGTAGCGTTATGTTTGTGCCTGAAAATATATAAAATAATAGTAAAATACAATTTAACACTATTTAAATATCACCTCTAAAGTTATATAACTATGGAGTTCAGCAGGAAAAAATGTTAGTTAAGAAAGTTGGTAGTGTTTGGACTGATGCGTGCCTCAACCCTGCATCATCTAGTGAGACTTTAGTCGTGTCGCACATCTGAAGTTAGGAATTAATGAAAAAGAGAGAGGAGTGGTCTACAGAGTTTTTAAGTGTGGAAGACGCTATCACTAATAATATCTTATTTGTTCAAACTCAAAATAACTATGAACGTCAACAGAAGAGATGTTAAATTGACTCTAAATTTACATTTACTACCAGTTCGCAAGTCAGGGCCGTAGAGCGAGCAAGAAGAACTGGCAAGAAACTCTCCGCCACTGTATTTAATCGCCAAGTTTTGAGTCATACAAATTGTTTGAACTGGAGCAAATCAATCCCAAGGATTTGGATCATTTAAATAATCGTCAAATTTATAAAAAGCTTGATTATTTTGTTGATATGTTTGTAATGAATTTCGTATATATACAAACCTTTTATCGATTCCGGCAGATCAGTTTTGACAATACCTTGAAATAGACCTCGTCTATCTTTCGCAATTAGTAAAATCTCTCTGGTATCGTTTAGTAGTAGCTTTGGCTGGTTCCACTCTATTCCTGTTAGATGCGGGCCGTAATCCGTTTTAAATTTCTGCACTAGCTAGAATATTTTTATGTGTATTATATACTTTTAATGTTATTGAAACTATCGCTACGAATTTAACTATTTGTATGCTTTGAATAGTCTCCAAACATTAAGTAAAGAGTCAAATCTTTTAATTCGTTTTAATTGTTTACCTGGCAATTGAACCTACATCACGTACTATAAATATATATGTATATAAAAAACCAGTGGCGTTACAACCATTGTAGGGCTGGGCTTCAGATTTCTGTATCTGTTTCATGATCATTTGTCAATCAAATAGGCAAGTAGGTCATCAGCCTCCTGTGCTTGACACACGCCGTCGACTTTATGGGTTGTTGACCGGGTTGCCTTGGGCAAGCCGGTTTCCTCACGATGTTTTCCTTACCCGTTCGAGCGAATGGTTAATGCGCACCTAGACAGAAAGTCCATTGGTGCACAGTCGGGAATAGAATCTAAGACCTCAAGGATGAGAGTCGCACGTTGAAGCCACACACACTTGCTCTACTCATAAATAAATAGCATTAACAATACTAATGCAAGGTGAACAACTTTGTTTAGCTCTGCCCTGCGATTCTGTAACTCACACAGCGGTTTTCGCATCGGCGGTCGCTCTCAAATCAGTCGTGAAGCAGTCATTTTATGATTTGGCATTCTGAAAAGGTGGGATCTTGTAGTTTATTGTTTATCAGAATGCCAGGGCAGGGCAGAGCTTGTTTGTTAAATTGTTTCATAATAAATAAAATATAAAAACCTTTTTAGTAGGATATGTAAATCTGTGTATGTCTGCATTTTGAACATTGCTTAAGGACCATATATAGAATGGAATCCACTCCAAATTCACTATATCATCAGGATGAAATAAGGCTTTTTTTGAGAATTCCTCACAAGTAGTCCAGTTATCCGTAGATTCTTTTATCATATATGTTCTTTCTTCTATCTCGTCTATATTTAAACTTTGCGGTTTACGTGTGAATGGTGTTTCTGGGCGTGGGATAGTCTTAACAAGTGGTTTAGGATAAGATCGAGCTAGGTTACGATCTAATATTGCTTCAAAATTATAATACATCGGATTACCACTGTTATTTCTCATCACTTCACCTTCTTCTGCTTTTCTCATTTTTTCATATAGCATTTTGTCCCGTGGTGGCATGTATTTGCCGGCTATGTCTCGAATGTTCTCTCTCATAGCGTATGCATCTTCTAGATTTAATTTATCACCACCTTCGAATAAATGTCTGTTTTTTTCTGGATCTCTGTAGATGTGACCAAAGTCTACATCGTGTTTATTGTAGGTGTCAACGGACGCTCGCTTTTGCTTCGTTTTCTTACAATCTGTCAACGTAATAAGGAGAATTATGAAGAGGAACTGCATTTTCCGTGTTATGATTCACTTGATTTGCACGTTGAATTTATAGGTACATCGCAGAGGTTGCACACATTTCGAAATACATATTTCACAAATCGTATCGTAATATATAAAAAAATTGTGGCGCTACAACCGTTTAAGGCCTGGGCGTCGGATTTCTGTAGGTATCTGTTTCATGATAATTTTTCAGTCTAACAGGCAAGTAGATGATCAGCCTCCTACGCCTGAAACAAGCCGTCGACTTTTTGAGTCTAAGGCAAGCCGGTTTCCTCACGTTTTCCTTCATGCGCATTGCGTATATAGAAAATAAGTCCAATGGTACACGGCCGGGAATCGAACCTCAAGGATGAGAGTCGCACGCTGAAGCCTCTAGATTTTGGGCCATCACTGCTCTGTGTATAACATAAACACATTATTAAATATTAAAGGTTGTAAAAATCATCATCATCACAATGGATAAATATGACTTTTGACGCTTAATTTAGATGTTAGTGTACTTACTACTAAATCAATAGATGTAGCTAATTATATTATTTACATTCGTAACGTACGTAGTAATAATAATAATTATAAATGATAAAAATAGAAAACAAAAATACATTTAAAAAGTAAGTAGAGATAGTAATAGATAAAGGGATCCACAAGGAGGTGTTCTATCGCCGCTACTGTGGAACCTTGTAGTTAATGAACTTATCACAGAACTCAACGCTGACAATCTCTACACAGTGGGTTATGCTGACGACATAGCTATTTTAATATCTGGGAACTTTGAAAGCACCTTATGTGACCTCATGAGAAGAGCCTTCAGATTGATTGAGAGATGGTGCAATGAGCACGAGTTATCTGACAACCCATCAAAAACAGAACTAATACTCTTTACTAACCGAAGAGTTCTTGGACCGTACAGACTTCCGAAACTCTTCAACACTGAACTCAGTCTTAAGAATGAAATCAAGTACCTAGGTGTGATTTTGGACTGTAAACTGCTCTGGAACAAACATCTAGAACACAAACTAAACAAAGCAACGATCGCCTTCTATCAATGCAAAAAGATGCTAGGCGTGAAATGGGGCTTGTCGCCTAAGATAACTATATGGTTATACACTGCCATAATCAGGCCAATGCTAGCCTACGGAGCCCTTGTTTGGTGGCCTAGAACAGAACTTCAAACGGTGATTTACTAAACTTGGACGCTTCCAAAGGCTTGCTTTGTCCGCTGCTAGCGGTTGCATGAAAACAACACCAACTGCAGCAATGGAGATAGCCCAGCAGATCTTACCTCTGGACCTACACTTACGGCAGGAGGCAGCCCTGGCTGCTATCAGGCTTATGGTACTGGATCTATAGGGAAAAAATCACTATAGTGCACTCACAGCGATTCTCAACAGGGCGATAGAGTACCTACAGAAATCAACCTCTTATAGCTGCGCCCTGTGATATAATCACTAACCAATTAATATTTAACAGGAAATATCACATACAACTGAGAGAAGAGGAACATTATCGGTCGACCATGAATGAGCTACGTATATACACAGATGGATCTAAAACAAGGTCTGGCTCAGGCGCTGGCATATGGCTCTTGATCTCAACATCAACATACACCTACCCTTAGGCACACAGAGCGCGATCTTTCAATGTGAATGTGTCGCCTTAACCGAAGCAGCCAGAGCCGTGCAGTGGTTAGGGATTAATGACTTTTGCATTAAATTCGTATCCGACAGTGCATCCGAGCCGATGGCGCTCGGAAACAAAAAAACCAACAGCAAACTAATACTGGAGTGTCACGAAGCACTGGAGGCCATAACTCGAACCAATAGGGTTACCTTGCAGTGGATAAAGGGACACAGTGGATCTCTCGGCAATGATGCTGCTGACGAGCTTGCGAGAAGAGGCTCCGGAATGATGCCTGCTGGCCCGTATCCGCTCCTCCCCTTGCCCTTCTCGCTGGTGCGAACCTGGATTCGCCAGAGATCCGCTGAACTCCAGCATCAACGATGGTCGCATAGTGCGGTCTGCAAACAGTCCAAAATGGCTCTGCCAGCAGTGAACCCGCAACTGACAAAGCGACTACTAAGCTTAAATAGAACCAACCTTAAAACAATGATAGGGACAATAACGGGTCATTGCCTCCTTAATAAACATCTTTTTGTCCTAGGCGCGACAGACAGCCCCTTGTGCAGAGGCTGTTTCAGCGCAGAGGAAACAGTCACCCACGTAGTCTTGGAATGCGAGGCTGTGGCTAATCAACGTGAAAAAATCCTCGGAACAGTGAGGTCGCTCCGGGAAGCCTGTGAAGTGCCCAGGAGACTTCTGTGCTTCTGGAAGGAGCTAGGCTGGCTAAATTAGCCAGGACTGCAACGCACAACGGACCAATTAGGAGTCTAATTGCGGAAAAAGGAGTCCTACAACCCTAACCCTAACCCCTAGTAATAGATAAAGACCTAAAGGAAGATGGCCAGATGACATATCGCATTACACAGACACGACAAGATGGAGGAAGGTATGGGATAGGAACGAATGGGAAAAGATGGGACAGAGCTTTTGTGATGAAATTATTTGACGACGCAATCAATAATTTTCAAGTTTTTTAACCAATATATCTGACAATGTATTGGTGCAATATTAAGATTTTTTAGATCATATGTAAGAATGAGAAATAATTTAATTGAAGAGATGTAATGACACAAATAGCGTGAAAATTATGTAAATGTGCAATAAAGTGTTAATAATTTGTTCATACATTTTTTGAACCAAAAGTTGGATTCCTCTGATTTTTTGTTACTCCCAACGTTTCCTATTTCAACGCAAAAGACTGTAAAGCGAGACTTTTATTCACACGTATTGACACTTTAATATGAACATTCAGTATTGAAATTTTGAAAAGCAATTTCAAAAATTCGTTCCTAAAACGTTTTGGCAATTTCTGAATTTCGTCATCGGACATCAAGTATTGTTAGCTAGTGTAAGTTAAAAGCCTTACTTACACAGGATTGAATTTACTATAAAATTATCAATTACATAAATTAATTATCCCTTGGCGTAGAGATGTGGAGTACTCTGCATCTTCTACAGCATTCACCATGGAGACTGTCCAGAGGAGTTGTTCGGATTAATACCTGCAGGTGAGTTTCATCATCGGACGTCTCTATGTGGAACCAGCTGCCCACTGAAGTATTTCCGAACCTATTTGACTTAGAGTCCTTCAAGTAAAGAGCGTACCACTTCTCAAAAGGCCGGCATCGCACTCGCGAGCCCTCTGGCATTTAGAGTGTCCATGGGCGGCGGTATCACTTAACATCAGGTGAGCCTCCAGCCCCTTTGCCCCCTGTTCTATAAAGAAACCTAATACTTATTATTCAGTAGTTGTCGTTATAGGATTTGTTTCTGGAGATATTTCTGGGTCCGATCAATTGATTTTTTTTAAAGAAATTCTTTGTTCTTGAGACTATTATTGCTTAACAATTTTATCGCGGGCAATGCTATACGGTTTATATTAAAGAGATGGCTAATTATGAATATTACATCTTAATTAATATTAATAATCCAGTAACGTTACAACCCGATTATTGATATTGATTTATAAACTCCGATTCTTTGATAATACTTTTTTATAGAATCCTGGGGTAAATGAGCCTACGGTAAGCTCAAAAAGGGCAGCCATCTCAGCCCATGGTCAAATACATGGGTAGTCTTGGACATGGGTAGTAGTAGCGTTGCCGGCCTTTGAGGGAGGACAACACTCTTTGAATAGTTGGAGGTCGCATCTCTCATATATAGATCTCAGATATGCCATCTGCTCTTCGTTGGCCTATACAAGAGCACAGAAAGAAAAATCTATAGACCTATATACCTACTGAGCGTATTGAGAGTGACACGCTTGCACCACTATTTAAATAAATAAAATATAAATGAAATACTAACGAATAACACAAATTTATTATATTTTAAGTATATTAAAGCTCATCGTCCAGGTAATCGTCATCTTCATATTCATCTTCATCTTTATGCTCTTCCAACATTGAAAATTGCGAATATAACTGCTCTTCATACAAATAAGTCTCATTGAATTCACTTTTGATACCCAGAACTGATATTGCATCGTCAATCTGTAAATTAAATATAGGCTTTTTAGGTAAACAATATTATGGCATACAGGAATGGTAGAAATCGAAAAACATTTCTTTATTCAATGGCATTTACACTATAACATTTTTCTGTAGGTTAAGATACAGAAATAATCTCGTTCTCGGTGACGTCCCGGTGACGGCGGTGGTGGACAAACGGCCTTAGACTGGGTTCACACTGCATTGTCCTGCACGTTTTCTTTGTATTCGTTTTTTTAACGTACTTTCACCCTGGTGTTCACATGGTAGATTTTCATTCGTGTAAAATACGAATAGCCGCAGTCTTTACTGTGAGCGAGAACGAGACAGAGCTATATTATGTGCCCCTTTAAACCGAATTAACGTTAAAGTTCATTCGATTTGCTTGACAAATCCGTCGAGTATTCGTTTGAACGTATAAACGGTGTACGATATTTTGCAGTACAAACGCCATGTGAATGGGTCTATGTACAATACTTGTGCCACTATTTATTCGTTAAGACGTATACTGCAAAAAAAGTGTAGGACAATGCCGTATGAACCCAGTCTTAGGTCGCCCAAATACATATTAATTGCTAAATGCTTCTAATTTTACATCGCCAGTTCTCAAATCAATAGCTTAGAACAGACGAGAATAACTGGCAATAAACTCTCCGACACTCTTTTTAATCGCCAAGTTTTTTGTTTTACACAATGTTTGTAACTGCAACCATTACACCATGTTCTACATGACATCTTACGTAATTAATAATTAAAAAAAACAAAGATTTGTCCTCTATCAGCAGTAGGCATGGTGATATAACACCACGCACTTATATTCTCATTTTGACATAGGGAGTCATGGTTTGTACTAGATCTAAGTGCGCATCGTCAACACAAATATGTCTTATTTACTGCTTTGAGACCATCGTAATATAGTAGCATAATCTTACAAAGGTAGTATGGAGAAAATGGTGTAACCCTTATTCTTCAAAACAAGTGGTATTTTATTCATGAGATGGCAGGAGAGAAGCACAGTTGTGTTTTGGGACGTGGGGTCTTAGCGCTATAAGGCTTTGTTAGGAAATAGCAAAAATGTTAGTCGACTTCACAGGAGACCGAAGAGCTGGCAGCTACCTCGGACAAAGAATTAGTCTAGCTATTTAAAGGGGGAACGCTGCCAGTATCTTCTGAACCATTCCTAAAGGGACTCCTTTTAATAATATAATTTAGTTATTATATTTTAAGGTAAGTTATTGTTTTTCTTTTATTTATTTATTTAGTTTAATTGAATTCACTTTAACACATCCATCACTTACGTGTTTTTCGTCAGGCATATTGTCAAATGGCGCAAGGGCGTAACCAAATCGGTATTCGCACTGTAGTAGTATTACATAGAACGGCTTGACCAATTTTAATGCCATTTCAGTGTAAGGAAGATCATCTGTAAAGGTACACATTTTGTATCAAAATTTCTATTGTCTTGGCAGTCAGAAATAGTTTGAATTTTACGAAAAAGTCTAACATATGTTATAAAGTATTAATTGAAAGTAGGTGTATATTTTTTCTTAAACATAGGACCAGGATATATTAGAATCAGGCAGATCTGTGGCTGAACTAGGGGAGTGTCAAATCTCCCCTGCTGCCTAAAAAGGGAATTTCTTTGCTAAACAAGGTCTAGTGGGATTGGCGTCTATATATTAAGTTAGATATGAAACTTACGATAAAAATCTAAGTTGGTAACAATCCGAAATCTCCCAGAGACATTCGTAGAAATGAATAAAGCGCTAAAATCATTCGATGTCTCCATAAAGAGCACGGTTCTATTCCAATCAACTGGCGGAGTTAAATTCAATTCTGTGCGGAAGCGGTCTAACAACTGAAAATAAACTCTGGATTTATACACAATAAAAATATGTCGTTATATATACGTAAAAAAAGTTTTTGTGTTATCCGAGTTTATTTTTGAAATAATTCAAAGTGCTTCTTCAAATCAACTTGGATCTGTTCAACCAGTCTGCAGTCCCTGTTAACAAAGATGTTGCGCCTGTCTCCGATACTATCGACACCTTTATATGTTCGCAGAGTTAGTTTACAACAGCGATATTGTATAGCTAATGTATTTAATATTATATATTTTATTTTATTTTTTCTCTTTTCTCGTCATTATCGTATTGGCTTAGTACTGTAAGGATAGTGTATGTATTTTTGTGAATAAAATAAATTATCAATATTTTAATTAACTGGTTTTGAGAAATCTGACATGTCATCTCATTGATGGTGATTAATTTTGTTTTCCTGAATGTGTCGCGCAGTTATTACAATACACAGTATAGGACTTCGTCCGTCTCCCAGCATAAGGCCAGCTACTAAACCCTCGATCTCAGAACTGTACGGCGGATCTTGTGATCTGACATATAGCGATGCGACCCCTACGTTCACCACGAACCCGTTACACCAACATACACTATGGGATATAGAATAAAGAATTTTTTATGTCCCATTTGTATGATGAGTTTTCGTTACCTTCTTTCAAACCATTATATTATTTTCCATTGAATCGAAGCCCAGTCAAAACATTTCTGTATCTGATTCGTGATTTTTCTATTTTCTAATAAACCTTCTGTGCATGACACACGTCAGAAGGCATGCCGGTTTCCTCACGATATTTTCTTTAACCGTACGAACTGCGAACTTTAGATGACCAAATAATGTGAGTTAATTAACTAAATAAATAAATACGTACAACAGGATATGGGACACTAAACCTAAACATATGCAGCGGTTCCTTTGCAGCATTCCAGAAGTAATACGTCTTCCAGTCCACATCAATCAGAGCGAGAGGATCAAACGTATAATTCGCCAATAACTCCTCACAACTTGTGGAGTTTTGAAAACGTTTTTTATATATCTCTGAAAAATTCTCCACCACAGTTGAATTATCGACTAACGGGGCCATAGAGAAAGCAAGACTTAATAATGAACTCGCTATTACTATTTGATACATATTAGCAAAACTAAACGACTATAAACACGGGTTTAAATTTATACAATGGCTGTTTTAACGAAAAGAAATTGTTGTAGAAAACAATTGTTTATTTTTATAACAGAATCGTTTTGTTTACAGTATGACTTTCCTTTGAACTATGAGAAAGATGTGTTCTGTTATATTCGGACCAATTTCAGTATAAAATGTTGAACGATGTGATTATAAAACCATTTATTTATTTAAACTTTACTACCTTATACAAAAACAATCATATAAAAAATAAAAAAGCAGGTTACATAAGTTATGAGGCAACTGGCGGCCTTATCGCTAACAAGCGATTTCTTCCAGGCAACCCTAATATGGAACAATAAGAAACACCTACAAAGGGTAAATAAAGTACAAAAAGTGCATAAATATTACTATAACTAAAATAAAGTAAAATCTAAAGAAAAAATAATATTTTTTAAATTAATAGCATAGGTATAACCATATTGGTTGACCAAAGAAAGTAAGTTGTTCTGCTTGAACTGTGTTTATATTCACGCATTTTTACCGAAGGGGTAGGCAAAGACCACGGATCTCTACTTGCTACGGTCTGTCATACTTCTCTTAATTCATCCACTTTTATGATTTTCACCATGCATGGTCGTCGATTATGGGTCCGAACTTGTCCCTTCTCTAGTACCTCCTGGATATGGTCCAAGTATGTACGACAAGGCCTCCCTTTGACTACTACTACCTATCGTTGACTTGAATATCCTACACTGAATGAATGAGAAGGGGTTAACAAACCCTTCTCATTCATTCATTCACATAGCATCTTCTCATTCATCCGTTCTACATGACCAATCCACTCATCATTACCATACGTGTCCTTGACATCACATCCTCTTTCAACCCATACTGCTCAGCATTAGGTACAGACTATAATCTTGTCCGAACAATTAGCTAAAGTTCTATAAATCGATCTCATATATAAATAAAACACAAAATATTTAGAATTTTTTTTATTGAACTTACGAATACAGCAAAATTGGTGGCCCCAATTAAAATATATATTTAAATTATCATGCCTAAAAAATTAAAACTTGCTATTATTAGAATAAGATGTTAGAGTAACTCTTCGTTTTTATTACTTTCTTTAGCGCAGACTGGGAATCCGTCTCCCAGATTAAGGCCAGCTACTAAACCCTCGATCTCGGTCCTGTTGGCCGGATCTTGTGATCTCGTACCTAGTGAAGCGACCCCTTGGTTGCAGTCCACGATCAGCAGGTACTTCCCTTCGTTTAGCAGCTTAAATTGAAACTTTATTAGGCTTACTCCTTTACGTGTCGGTACTAGACCTGGAAGAAGATATAAGTAACATTATAAGCATTACATATAAAGATAAAATCGTTGCGGTAATAAAAAATTAAATAAAAAAATCTGATTCATTCAATGATATCCGAGGCTAGATGTAGAATATTATTAAATAAACCATAGGTATCGAAAAAGTCTACGTAGTTTTTTTAAGTGGGAATAATGGTGGATAGAGATAAAATTTCTCAACTGAAACATTGATTAATTACGTGCAAAACAATTCATTTTAGTTCAATACATGCTTTCAAATCATCATAATATGTAATTAATCGTTACTTGTAAACTGATTTCTTCACAATATTATTTCTATTTAACATTGCCACTATAAATAATTAATTGTAAACGGGAACAAATTTTTAGAAATGTTATTTAAATATACGAGAAGTTATTATGATTAGTTGAAAAAAATAATGGGAAGTTATTCATTGCTGGTTGGTAAATTTGTGCGAGTAATCTTACAATGTCGGTACTAAAAATATGTCATCAGACGTCGGTAAAAATGATGGAATGGGCAGTTTGATAAATAGTTCGGTTTTTCAGGTTAGGTTAGGTCTGCTAGGCGAGGGGTACCAGGTTCGATTCCCGGTTCGAGTGCAAGTTTTAATTTAATTTAAATTTGTTCTCGGCCTTTGGTAGGGTTGTAAGGGCGAGTGCTTAAAGTAGGTACATAGAGGGCACAGTAGAATTTCTAAGGCAAACAGTGAGTATGCTACCTAAGAAAATAGACTGTGTAAGTTTAGAATGTAGCAACACGTGCTAGGCCGAGGATGGAAAGAAAAAAAGAAAAAGAGAAAAATAAAGTTTTTTTAGGAGGCAAACGGGCAGGAGGCTCACCTTATGTTCAGTGAAACCGTCGCCCATGGACACTCACACTGCCAGAAGGCTCGTAAGTACGTTGCCGGCCTTTCAAGAATTGGTAGACTCTTTTCTTGTAGAACCCTAAGTCGAATTGGTTCGAAAATACTTCAGTGGGCACTGGTTCCAGTGGTGGTGCGCGACAAAAACTGCCTTGAAAAACGCTCAGTTGTGGAACGGCGGACGTCGAGGTGATACGGGTATTTCGTATTCTGCCTCGACGTCCGATGATGAAAATGAAGTTAGGTTAGGTTTAGGATGACCCACTCGCAACTGCCCACTACTCGGTATTTATTATATGATCCATTTTATAATATTTTACGACTAATTTTTGTTTACTTTACTGCTAAGTTTTAACTGCCGAACTTGTTACTAAATATGCATTTTGTAATTTTCAACTTACCAAAACTACTATACAACTTCCCGCGTTAAGTCAGTGCCATTGTATCGTTTTTTATTCATTATATAATCTCAATACTAACTTGAACTCCGAACCATATTCGGAACACCGACGAAACTTCCAGCTGGACCCTGGTCAGCGAAGAGCAGCATCTCGTGCTTCGATGGTCCCACGTACAAACAGAGAGTTGCCGCTTCCCAAGATGGCTGCTGTTCTAAATACTCTCCCATTTCTGACCAAACGCGGTTTATTGTCTGAAATAAATCATCAGAAACATCGTCAACTTGGTGGGCAAAAAACTTAAAAACTTAGAATTAAATTAGTTTTAATTTTACACGCTAAATAAGACTACGAACGCTCTCGCTGACCAGGACTGCTTAAAGTGCTGACTCATGCAAGCCTCACTTCATTCGGAACAATATCCTTACTCTACCTAGCATATATAATATATATATACTGGAAGCATGTAAATTTGTTTGTAAATATCCTAATATGTATAAAAAAAGGGAAGATACAAAAACCCTTTACTCACTAAGACCTTCTCGTAAAAACCAGTTGGTTTTAGTCTGGATGTAGGTCCAGGCTGATCCAGACTAAAATTACATCAATCAGGACCATTGACCTCCTCAATAAAAATATATAACAAATTACCAGAATATTTAAGAAGAGAAAAACAAATAACTTGAGGTTTACCAAATTTTTAAAGTAATATAAGAATATTATTTTACAGTCTTTTCTTATATATTATATAAGAAATGTTACAAGTGTACACACTGTAAGGCTGCCAGTCCACCAGAGCGGAGCGAGGCAGCGGAGCCGAGAAACGGAGAAATATTAACCAATAGGATTGCACAAAATCTCCGCTCCTCTTAAGTGGACAGGGACTTGCGAGCTAGTTTAAAATTTCATATAAAACCGGTATGCGGAGCGGGGAAACGGAGCGGGGATGCGGAGCGGGGAAGCGAGTGCGGGCGCGGGCGCACTTTGCGCCGGCAGTGTGCCGCCGTATTCCGACCAGTGCGTATGTGACCGAAGATAATGGATGAAAAACTTATTGAAAGTGTGAAAAAGTTTCCGTGCATTTGGAACACATCTTCAGAATTTTACAAATGCAACGAAACAAAAGATGCTGCGTGGGACCAAATTATCATTGAAACAAACATATCGGATGGTAAATAATATGTATCTTTATTCTATAATACCTTCTAGTAGGTACATATTGATATCTTTTTTTTTATTTAACAAAATAGCCTATATAATGTAATAGCCTAAATAGTTAAATAATGTCCGCAGCTGGCCAAATTATCTATATCTGTCTCACATCACTGACTATTATAGATTCTTTTCAAAATTCGAGTATCTTGCCATGGTACCTTCCCCTGATTATTAAAGTATGAACAATACATTTCACGAACTTGATAACCATCGTTACTAGAATGTTGTGTTTCTATAATATCACCAACTGATAATAATGATTGCTCCATGTTATTTTCAATATTGTTTATATAATTAGGTTGTCTTTGAATTAAATAATTGTACAAAACACATGTTGCTTTTATTACCTTGTCAACTGTTTCTATTTTGCATTCAAAATCTTTATGATACACGTACCACTTTCTCGTCAATACACCGAAAGTTGCCTCAACAATACGACGTGCTCTTGATAATCGGTAATTAAAAATTTTTTTTTCTGCGTTAAGTCCATCACGTGGGTAAGGCCTCATAAAATTTTCCATTAATGGAAAAGCTTCGTCTCCTATAAATACGAACGGCATTTTTGCTCCACCTTGATAAAATGGTACCGGCTGAGGTAAATTCAATCTCTTTTCTTTTAGACTCTTTCCGAAAATGCTGTTATCAAAAATTCCTGCATCAGAAAATCTTCCCATAGATCCCACATCAGCCATTATGATTTTCCTTTTGGCATCAGCTAAACACATCAATACTACAGAAAATCTCTTTTTGTAGTTGAAAAACGAGGACCCGGTTTTCGAGGGAGCCTTGATATATACGTGCTTGCCATCAAGAGCACCTATACAATTTTTAAATTGCCATAGTTCATCAAAATCTTTTGCGATTTCTTTCCAGTCGTTTTCTGTTGGTTGTGACATGACAAGAGGTTGCAATATATTCCATAAAGCATCACAAACCTCCTCAACAATTCTTGATACACTTTTCAATCCAATTCTAAAATTCTCTCCCATCGTTGTAAATGACTGGCCGGTTGCTAAATACCTAAAAAAAAACGTATTTAGTTGTACTTCGCGTAAGTGATGTAATATTTTTGTCATAAATAGACCATGTAATACATTTTTGTGTTTGTTGATTGTTTCAGTTACAACTGCCAAGTCGCGATGGAAACAACTGAGAGATAACCATCGGGATGCCTTAAAAAGACAAAATGCAACAAGGAGTGGACAGGCTAGAAAACAACGAAAAGAATGGAAATATCAAAAAGCCATGTCATTTTTATTGCCTTACATGAGTAACAGAGACCGGTCAACAAATTTTACGCCCCTGGACCACTCAGTAAGCGAAACTTCAAATCCGCCAAATACCATTGAAGAGAGTTCACGGGAATCATGCAATTTTTTGCCATCAAATTCAAATAATCTTCCTTCTGCCGATGATCCTAAGAATCCAACAGCTTCGGAATCTCTTCCATCAACATCCAAAAAAAGAAAGAACGATGAAATTCTAGATTATTTAAAAAAAAATCAAGAACGCCGCGAAGTGTTGGAACGAGAACGGATAGAACTTAAAAACATGATGTCAGCCAGTGATAAATACGATGAAATAGACTTATTTTTTTTAAATTTGGCTGCATCGACAAAAAAGCTGCCGTATTATTTTCAACTTCAAATTAAAAAACCTGCTTTAATGCGGTAATGTCAGCTGAAGAAAGTAATCTTCAACATAGTTGGTATTCACCGAATAATTATGGTTATTCTACAGGCTCAACACCTACATCAGATAACATCAACACTAGTATCGATACTCCTAGTGCTTCAGATAATATCAACACTAGTATCAATATTCCTAGTGCTTCAGATAATATCAACACTAGTCTTAATATTCCTAGTGCTTCAGATAATACCAACACTAGTGTCAATATTCCTAGTGCTTCAGATAATATTAACACTAGTATCATTAATCCTAGCGCTTTACAAATTCCAACAACCCAGGATATTGAAACGTCTGCAGCAGAGCCAACAGAACCCAATGAAAATGCGGTCAATTTTGAGACAGATTACGATTTTTAAATTAATATAACATGGCTTCTATAACTGTATGCAAAAATAAAAGTTACTTTGATTTAAAATGTGTACTTACTTTAAACACACCGCTAATCTTTCACGGCTACTAATTGAATTTCTGTAATTTGTGTCTTGTTTCCGAATATATGGTTCAATCAGGGAGTGAAGTTCATAAAAAGTACATCTTGAAACTCTATAAGAATTTTCGAAAGTTTCTTCATCAGCTGTTTGGAAAAAAGTAAAATATTCACTGTGTTCTGAACGATGTTTGATATGATTTCTTAACCAAAATCTATGTTTCCTCATAGAATTGTTCAAATGGTATATGGTAAGTATTTCGGCTTCTTCTGACTCCAACTCTTCTTCCTCAAGCAATGTAAGGTAATAATGTATCAACTTTTTCGATGGCATGTCTGCTATCACTGACATTTCGCGTAGAATTAAACCAATCGCCCCCACGCCGGGAGCTCGAAATCACTCGTCGCGTACTTGCTGCCTAGCTCCGCATATTGAAAAACACAGCAACTCCGCTCCGCATTACTTCCTCACTCCGCTCCGCAGCCTCGCTCCGCTCCGGTGGACAGTCACAGTACGCAACTCCACTCCGCATTAGTCCGTTTCTCGGCTCCGCTGCCTCGCTCCGCTCTGGTGGACTGGCAGCCTAACAGTGTAATAACATGTAACTTACAGAGTATCTGACTGATATCTGACTGGCAAGTACTAGCGTTTATACAAATGGTACTCTGTTGGGACTCGTACTCACGACCTTAGAATTGAAAGTAAGCTTAACCACTAGGCCAATACTACTCCGCTGAGGTAAAAATATTGAATCTTAACTTTGGCTGTACTTAAATATTAAAACTAATAATTTAAAAAAAACACTAAAACTAATTTAAAAAGTTTGGTCCCTATGGCAATAGCCGTAATGATGGCGGCATTTAACATATTTTAAATCATAAGTATCAAGTGACCGATTCCGACCGTTGGAATACAAATACAATTTAAAAAAAAATTGTGGCACTACATTTTAGGTTTGGGCCTCAGATTTCTGTATCTGTTTCATGATCATTCGCCAATCTTATAGGCAAGTAGGTGAACAGCCTTCTGTGCCTGACACACGTCGAGTTTTTCGGTCTCTTTTGAATGTTCAATGCGCACATGGAAAGTCCATTGGTGGACAGCCGGGGATCGAACCTACTACCTCACAGATGAGAGTCTAGAATAATTAATAAAAAATATTTTATAAATGCATACGTTAGTGGCCAGTATGCTGCGCAAATAGAGAAACTGTCGTAATGGGAAAAAAAGAATCACCACGTTGACAATGACAGTTCATACAGCTTTCTGACCCGTTCAACACGTTAGGCCGGCTCCACACGTTGGCCCCAATATTGGCCTCAACGCTATTCGTCCAACGTGTGGATCTAGAAAATGGCATTGGTCCCAACGTTGGGGCGAGTGTTGGTAGTTGGCCGGCTCGTGTCGGTTTCATCAAAGGAATCTGCGCCAACGCTCGCGATCTGTCCACACGTTGGCGCTTTGCTTAGTTCTGTTACAGTACGCAGCGAGTGCGTACGTCGAGCGAGAATGGCTTCCTCATCCACAAAATCGCCACCGGCATGGACAAATGAAAAAGTAATAGAATTTATTGAACTTTATCAAGCACATCCAATAATATGGGACGCAACTCGAAAGGATCATAAAAATAAAAATTTAATAGCTGATGCATGGCGCACCATTCAACAAAATATGAGAATGAATTTCTCAATTGAAGATTTAAAAAAAAGCGAGAATTTTGACTTTGACGTGGCTTTTTATTTTTCTCAGTAACAAATATAAATGTGCACTCATCATTACTATAAACGCGCTCAGAGCAGTTTCGATTTCTGTATCGGACATCTTCACATTGGCCCTGACGGGACAGAACTAGTTTATTAGCCAACGTGTGTACGCCTCACCGAGTTTGCAGTCCAACGTTGGTACGAGCGTTGGGACCCACATGTGGAGCCGGCGTTAGAAATGTCTTTTCATAAAATTTTGCAACGTGCTCTCGACGAAAACAAACACGCCTCATTATAAAAAAAAAATTCCGAGGCTTAATAATAATAATATTTACCTCACCACTAGCATTCTTGAACGTAAACTCGAAGCAAGTTATATCACCATCCAATTTCAAATTCCACGTATAAAATACTTTCCAAGGTTTCCCAACAACCAAATCCACATCAAAGAATGGCTGTTTCGCCACTCGCATACACATCTCTTTATTGCGTTTGAAGAACTCATCCTTTACCCTCAGACATTGCGAGATATTTGCAAATATTAAAATGATAATTAAATCACCAATTCGATTGAACAAATCCATGGTTACTGTCGCTTCTGTGAAGGGAAGCAAGTTATATAGCCGATGTTTGGGAAATAATGTTGTTTTAAAAGGATGTTTAGGTTTCAGCTCTTCTTAATAGGCAGTGAGAACAATGAGTTAACGACGCAACGCAACGAGGCGGATATATCTATATACGAATTATCGATTGTTTTTTATGTGTCTATGTATATCAATAATTTACTGTATACTTTTTTTTTATTATTAAAAAACGTATATAATGAAGTATGTATGTGCCCATAAATATTTCTAAAAGATTACCCTGACAAAACTAATGATACTTTTACCTAAAGTTATAATTAATGTAATTTTATCAATTTTGCTTGCGATAAAATATATCGTGTAAATTTCATGATCATGTTCTCTATACATTTTCGTCATAAAATGAATTCAAAGTGTCAAAAATTGGCTATGTTTGGATTTTCTTTCTAACAAGCGAAGTTATTTAAATTGTGTATTGATCTTTCAAAATGGATACATAAACTACTCAACTCCACCATATATTTTTTCCATTCGCCCTATTTCTAGAAACGATGACGAAAAATGGAAAGAATTTTGATATCTTGAAAGAGTGAGTATTTAATATATTTAATTCTACTAAGACAAAGTAATACGAATAAAAACCACTCAATTTATTACTAAAAAAACTTGTACAGGTGCAATGCATTAAAGAGAAAAGTCAAAACAATTTTTCAAAAACACCAACCGTAAAATGATCAAAATTCGGTCATTTGTTTTGTCGAGGGCGTGGTGATGCATATCTTCGGAATGAGTGGAATTGGTGGGCGGAATATCATCACGGCTATATGTATTGTGTAGGGCTTCTTTTTTATACACCAGAAGCCTTTTGGTTTGTTCTTTATTGGTCCAAAACCCTTTTAAGATGACAGTTGGCCTAAGAATCGTTTCGTAATACTCCTTCGTCAATCACTAAATAAAATAGTGATACTATTAGATATTATCAAATATCTACTAATTAGTCTTGTTCTTGATTTTAGCTCAATAAAAGTAAAAGAAAAAAACAGAAATAAAGTTGTTTTATTCAACTAAGAACTAAAATTTGTAATTGGAAGTGTAAAATTTTAAATTTTTTTTTGTTTATTGTAAAATTTATGTTCACCGTATTTGTCTTGTAAACTGTTAAAAAATGCATTATGTATGATGTGGTGTACTTTATTAAATACAAGTCCTATTACACTTTATAAATTTCAACTTAATTTGTAATTTGTGTTTTGTAATTTAGAATTTATAATCTGTAATTTGAGGTATTTTGTCAACACACACACGAACGACACTATCTGGTCAATATATTCTTGAAGCCTTGTTGTATGTCCAAAAAAATATAAACGATTTTAAAACAAATGGTGACATTCACCAGTACAATACGCGAAATAGAACTAATTTGAGTGTAAGACCAACCAGGCTCCAAAAGATAAACCACTCCTTATATGGAAATTGTATTCGTTTTTACAACAAACTCCCAAGCGAAATTAGAGTATTATCACTAAATAAATTCAAAGCCCTCGTTAAACGAAAATTAATCAACAAAGCTTTTTATAAATTTGAGGACTACTTAAATGATCCTAATCCTTGGGATTGAATTGCTCCAGTTCAAACAATTTGTATGACAATACTTGGCGATTAAAAAGAGTGGCGGAAAGTTTCTTGCCAGTTCTTCTTACCCGCTCTACGCCCTTGACTTGCTAACTGGTAGTAAATGTAAATTTACTTGACAATTCAAAAGTGTACTTGGTTACCCACTTGAATAAAGATATTTTGAGTTTGAGTTTGAGTTTGTTTTCTATAAAATTTATAACTTCTTCTATTCTGTTTTTGTTGTCGCGGCTTTTAATAAATAAATTAACTTAAAAGTGCTAGTTTCCTCATTGTATTCTTCGCCGTGGCCCGTTTTTGCATTACAAAATTGTAGTCCTTATTCATAGATTAAAGCATCTAAATCTTTACGTCTCCTATGCAGGAAAGTAGTGGTTAATACGGTAATACAAGACATGGGCGAAAACCACTTATAGTAGTTATCTGGTAGATCAATACATATTATTTATGAGAAGGTGAGGCGGAGAATGGGCGGCCATGATTTATAGGACATGTTCCACCCGGTCATACGAGTATTGAGTTACTGTTTGCAATTCGATAAAGTTTTAATGGTTGGTATCAAGGCAGTGTTGGTTTAGTGGCTTGACACCGAGGTTATGCGTTAGAATCACGGCGACAAACTTTTCTTCCTATATACGCAATTAATACCCTTTCGTATGGTGAAGAAAACCATCGTGAGGAAACCTCAGGCCTAGGCAGAAATAGGCAGAGAATATCGATCGAGATTGACAGTTCTTCTCGTCGGTTCTACGCCCTTGATTTGAGAACTGGCAGTAAATGTAAAATTATAAGCATTTAATATGTATTTCTTTATTGACGTTCATACGTGTACATTGCTACCTAAATGAATAAATGATTTTGAATTTCAATTTCACCTACTTGACTACTATTAGACTATCTGTGAGGGTTATAGCGACGTTTTTTTTAAATTGTGTTGTGTATATTTAAGCGTTTGAGCTCAGACTATACGCAATACGTGTACGGTAAATGTCAAAGGTTGTTAGACCCAAAAATCCAATATGTCAAGCGTAGAATACAAACGTTTCTGATTCCAAATTATTAAGAGAAAATGGTTTCATTGATATTTGAATACAGTTCCTCTTCGTAGTCTTCATTACTGAAGGTTGTGGCTGTCTCGCAAAGCCTTAACTGATACGTCGACTTGTTACCTCCACACCACTCTATCCTCCGCTTGTCTCAGGGCATTAGGGATGTAGAGACCCATAAATGTCTTAATTTGGTCAGACCAACGGGTAGGTCATCGACCCCGACTTCTGCCTTTACTCCTGCCTACCATTACCAGCTTGTCGAGACTATTCGGTTGTCTCCTGGCAATTTGGCCAATGTAGCTAAGCACCTGTTTGTTGACAGTCTTGTGGTGATTTTTGTTGGTTGTGAATGGACTTATAGACTTTTACATTACGTTCATATTTCCAACTCAAATTCTTAATCGTTTATTCATTACAATGTACACTTATGAACGCCAATAAAGAAATACATATTATATGCTTCTAATTTTATTTTACTTCAACATTGACTTAATACAGTTATCAGCCTTGCGATTCTGTAACTCACTTTTCGAACTCACACAGCGGTTTTCGCATTGGCGGTCGCTCTCAAATCAGTCGTGAAGCAGTCATTTTATGATTTGGCATTCTGAAAAGGTGGGAGCTTGTAGTTTATTGTTTTTTGAGTTACAGAATCGCAGGGCTGAGGCCAAAACGAAGAATAGCGCCACGTATTATAAAAGGCAGAAATGCTCCATTATTATCGAAGGTAAATGGTAATCAGTAACTTTACACTTTGCAAAAATGTTTGTAATACTTATCTTTCAGTTAGACATTTTACGATTCTAATTTTATACCTGCCATAAATAAGTTGGTGAAAGGGAACTTTTCGACGGTTCTATATAAGTAGCTAGATTACTAAACCTAATCTAATAATCACTAACTAGTTCGACCTCACTTTCGCCACTTTTGCTTTCACAAAGTTTCCGAAACATTCGTAGCACCCTCTCATAATCTACCTGCAGTTATGTTCACCCCGAACATCTACTATCATACCTACAACCCTACTTCAACGTTGTATCCTAACTCCTTATACAGTTCAGGCGAAAACACTCCAAAACTCTACAGCAATAAGTATAACAATAGTGTGTATGATTTTACAAATAGGACGTTTTGTATTCAAGTAACATTTTCCCCACCAAAACATCTCGCGCCCTGCCTCATGCATTTAAATTGCTTCATTATCAAAAGACAGGGCTGTCGACTTTCTGGCTAAAGTTTTGTTTAAATAGTTGTATTTAATGATTAAGCCTTTGATTAAGTATCTTAGAGTATTTCAGAATTATTTAATCGGTATTTTTAATCCGGACCGGATCTAAAAATAAATTAGGCACAAAACCTCCTTAGTTATGCTCATGATGTACACGAAGGTCCGGGGTTTGATCCACGGATTTTTGTTGGCTGATGACCTGGATCAGTGTCCTGCGTCTTCTAACCGAGGACAAGGAGGTGTAGAAAATCAATAAAACCGACGTGAACTTTTGCCACGCCCAATGCATATTTGCTTTTCCTTAAACATTAAAAAAGTACGAACTGAAACAATGTTCATATTAACGCAAGGGCGGCATTATTTATATTTTTTTTAAATTGAGCGATGCAATGCAACTTATATTTTTATAACACTTAAAAAAGCTATTATTTTTCTGTCGTTACAAATCTGGGCCATACAAGAATCAAACCAAAATTCATTTATAGGTAACTAAATGTACACTTACTAGACCTACAGAAAAGAGATTTATATATAGGACGACAAAAGAAAAGATGGATTGATGACGTAATAGAACTGGCGGGGAAAAAACTGGATGAATGTTGCTTAAGGCAAAGAGAAATGGAAAAATATGGAGGAGGCTTTCACCCTATGGCCCATACAAATACTAGAACACTAACTTTAAGTTTTAGAACTTATACTAACTCAACTTATACTATATTAAGAAATGTAAACTAAGCAATTGTTGTATGGATTAATTAATTAGGCTTTAAAAATTTATAAGTATACAATATTTTATACAAATTTAATATAACGTAAAGAACAGTATAATTTAAGAAATTATAATTTTTTGTAAGTTTTTTTTCAGATTTTGTGATATCGTTTATTAATACCTAAACATAACAATATATACAGTATTCACAATTTACCTACATAATAATAATAAAAATAATTAATAAAAAGAAAATGAAAACAAATTTAAAAAGTTTGGTCCCTGTGGCAGTGTACCTTTAACGCTGGCAGCATTTCCTCACTGTATTGCGATAGGTACTTATTCATTGAGCGAGAAAAGCACCAGCTCTGGGGTCACCGGT